TTAGAGAGAGAGTTTTGCTAGGAGCACTTGCCAGAAAGACAGCGAGAGGTAGAAAGAAAGCGAGAAATCACTCCCCGGGGAGATGGCCATGCTGCAATCCCTTCTCCTCCATTTTCCTCTCAGGATTTTGGGCATGCATGCACACACGCCTGGTGTGAATTTTAGCTGCTGGGTCCAGGACTTGGACCGAGGTTGATTACGTGGGAGTCCAGGAACATAACCATTACACTATCTGCTGGTTTCGCAGCTGACAGTCTTAGAGAACACACATAACCATTACACCATCTGCTGGTCTCGCAGCTGACAGTCTTAGAGAACATTTTTCTGAGTGGTAAGCCTGATCTGTTCTTCATATTAGATGCTACACCTCTCAACAGGCTGTGTTTTCACGATTTAACTTTGTGTTGGCAGAAAGAAGCCATTAGAAAGTGCCCTTTAAGGGAAACTTACTTGGGAAGATTGTCATTCAAACCTCCGTGCCTTGGGCTCAGGGCTTCTCAGCATTTGCTAGCTCCCCCCAAACTGTATTCCAGAAAGTACTTACCTGATTGTTGAGGGGTAGGAGGAGATCCCTGACACAGTTCCTGAACATATCCCCCTCCTGGGACACGGTGAGGCACCACTGAACGGGAGGTCTGCAATGGGCAAAGCCCGTCAAGTGTAGGTACTGGGTTGGGGCCAGCATTGGGCGTGGTGTGGTGGTTAAGGTGCTGGACTCCCATGTGGCCAACTGCAATTCAAATCCTGGACCCGGAGACCGAAACATCACACTGGTCACGTGTGCATGCATGCCCCAAATCCTGACAGGAGAGTGGAAGAGATGGGATGGTGGCGCGGCCATTTCCCCAGCGTGGGCTGGCTTCTCACTTTCCCTCTACCTCTCTCTCTCTCCAGCAAGCACACATACCCTATGGAAGAAAATAAACACACAACATAAAACAGTAAACACCAGGTAGTATTTACGACGGCCCTTTGGTCAGGCTCCCACGTCTTCTAGCTGTGCAGATCTAGCGAAAGAACTGGGAGATTCATGCATACATCACAGAAATTTGCACCAAATTCTTTGGAAACCAATTCTCTATGACCAGGAATTATTTGAATTGATACATATGGATAAAGTATTTATGTTTTTGTATAATCTTTTTTTTTTTTGGCCAACCTTCCATAGTTTACTCATGGGTAATACCATGAGGTTCTCAGACCAAAAAGTCCACCTTACTTATTTCTGGTGTTGAAGAACCCTGATCTAAAAATTCTAGCAAAACCAGGACTCAGAGTTTAAAATGATCACACTTAACAGTTTTCATAATCCAGTTTTCGATTTTGACATCTGAAATATGCAATTCTGGACCATAACTGGAAAATTAGCTACAGAAAAATCTAACTTAGGGCAAAAAAATATCCCTCAAATCCCCAAATTAACTATACAGTTGGCATAAAGTTGTTTTCTCACTAAATAAGTACTACAAATAACATGTATTTATTTATTTTTAAAGAATTGTTTATTTTATTTCTTCTTCTTTTAATTTGACCATAGCGAGACAAAGAGAGGGAAAGTAAGAAAGCAAGTCACTAGGTCTGGGACTCAAATCACAGTTGAGAGAGTCCAGGGCCTTAACCACCATGCCACCTGTCAGCTCCAATAACATATTTAATAAAAGAAGAGAGTGGAAAGGATAGAGAAGAGTAATGATACATTCCTGAAGTCAGGCCACTTCACATCTGACTCGCATTCCTAAAACTTGCATTGAGTCCCTTAAGAAATCCTCATATAAAGTTGATGGTGCTGTTCTTTCATTATTATTATTTTTAATTATACTCTGAAAACTGCACATTGCTCATCTGTTTTTATATAAATCTTAAATGTGGCATTTATCCCACATGTGCATGTGGTGAAAGGACCAAGAAAACCATTTTCAGTACTTAGCACCCTCGCCCCATTTTGAAGGAGACTTTGACTGTAGTAAATTCTTGCTAATTGAGAACCCTACCAAGGGGTTAAAACATTACCCAGGTACAAGTCTGTCCCTTGTAAATGTTATCCAAATAAAAGCCAGAAACAGGAAGCCAAAAAACAGGTCCCTGAGGCAGGCATGTGTCTTAAATGATATCATTTGTCAAGTCTCCAGCATCTTGTGGTGGCGAACACAGAAAAAAGGTCTGTGTTGAGCAGGGGACATTACATCCTCATCAGCCGGACTGCTCCTCAAGTGCATAATGCGGGGTTTTCATTTTAATAAGCAGCAGCTCCTTGTCACGGCACTTCCATGAGATAAACACCGAACGTAATACTAATGACCATTCATGGAGGTTCTCTTCTCTGCCCAAGAAATTTCATTCACACAAAACCACGTAATCATTTAGAGAGCACAGCATGCAAAGCTGTGTCATTTCTTTGCAAAGAATTCCCTGATTTTATTTTTTCATGCTGAAATCAGTCAGTAGCAGTAGTCTTCGTCAAAGGGACCTGAAATCAGTGTTGGCATATTTTGCATTCCAGCCCAGTTGGAAGGAAAAGCATCTGGCTTTTTAAAAAGCCTTGACCAGAGGCTGAAGGATGGTCAAGACTCCTTTCTTGAGAGGCAAGCCCCTGCCACCATGCCCAGCCGGTGACCTTAAGCCCTGCGTGCAGCACAGGCCACACGGAGAGCTGAGAGACCATTTATCCACTGTGAGCGTTCTGCCCTTGCCCCTTCTCTAAAACAAAGACTGACAACTGCCCTGAATTATGGATGGACTTTTCACGATATGTAACGTGGTTCGGAAGGAAGGCGTGAGACCATCGCACTGTCTCACATCCCATTGGAGGCTGGGCTCGAACTGTAATCCCCAAAGATGAAACTCACGCTGAACTATGACCCTCAATTTACAAATCATTTTTCAAAAGAACAGAAAAAAAGTTTAAACATATTTTTGGTGTTATCTGAATGGGCAGAATCTTTCATGCTTGTTTTCTAAGAATAAATGAAAACAGCATGCTTCGTATTTTCTGGGTTTGGGGAAGAAAAGCACACGAGGTTTGCAGATTATATTTTACTTTAAGCCTGGGTGTTTGGATTTCATTTTTACATAGAAGAATTTAGTATATTCCCCCAAAACATAATAAATTTCTATTCTGTCGCTTAAAGGATCCATCAGTTGAAATGTTGGTCTTTCATTTTTATTACCCTCCCATTAAAATGAAAGAAACCGGGACTCAGCTGAAGAAGCAATTTAGTTGGGATAATATCCTCGGAGTCTTTACAAAGGGAGAGGTGCATTCTTGCTTGCATTTCACACATCTCTGTGCCTAAGGAGCAACGGAACCTTTCAGACATAGGCTGGGTCACATTTAATCATGTTGTTTGATTAGATTATTTCATCAGGGCAGTTTCCCACTGCCAGTCATTTCCTGTGTGCGGTTACATTCATAAAACCTGCCCCCCCCCCCACTTTGTTTGTTTGTGTGTCTGGAAGTGAGGCAAAGTCTCTGTTTTGCTACAGCTGTTCGGGCTGAAAGGGACAGATTAATAACTGCGCACCGCGGTGGAGGAGCCTTCTTGTCCCCTGCACCAGTAACCCTTTGCTATAATGAGGACACAAAGAGCCGCACATCAGGCGGCTACACTTCCTCATAACTCAGAAGCGTCACGGTGGCAGTAGCCTCCAGTGCTATTTGTCTTTAGTGCGGTTGTGACACTTCGGCATGATCCATAATTTGGCAGCTATTTACCGTGACATTTCCCTTCAGTGCAGCCATAACGTTCAGTGAAGCCATTATTTGGTTCCATTTACCATATAAATTGTATTGTTGTGCATGCATGCTAGCAGCTACATTAGGTACCTGAAAATGAGTAAATCTTGTAAAACAGATACGCGCAGCTATTCAGCAGCAGGATTTCCTTGCTCCTCAGACAGAAGGAAAGAAAAATTAAATAGGGTCCCCAACTTTCCTGGAGCATCCTTAATTGTGTCCCTGTTTATAGAGCATGTCAGACACGCTGAAACCCAAGACTATGAAAACAATCCGGTGCACTTCACCTTCGACGAGAAAGCCACAGCACGTGGGGCCCTGTGGGTTAAGAGGTAAGTGAGCAGCTATGGCCAGATGCAGAGGACAAGGCAGCAAGTGTGTTGCTACTTTTCACACATGGTGCGTAGATGTGTATGATAAGAAGTGACAAGCAGCTTCTCATTCCACCAGGACATTTGGTGAAGGCAAATGGAACAGGGTCAGGGGCTGCTATTTGGTGTTTCTACCACTGGAGACAACACATACCTGCCATGTCCAAAAGCCAATGACAGGCAGACATATTACTGTTTTAGGTCACACAGGTCCCGCCTGTGTGTGGTGCAGGTCAAGCCGGCTGTTCTCAGACCCTTGCAGTGTCTGGAAATGCCTTTCCTCTGATGGCCTATGCTTGGGATTGGGAACCCTTACAGTGAGATTCACTCCGTACTTTTGCCTTGCCTGGGCTTGTATTAACCTTTTAAAGTCTTCCAATCTTTGTAGTTTCCCTTTCCAAAACGACTTTCTGTCTCGGTAAGTTCCCAGCACTAATTTGCTTTTGAAGAGAAGAGAGAAATTTTCCATTTGACAAATGTCTCATCAGGATAATTGTGGATAAAAGCCATTAAATGATAGATTATTTCTTTAAAATATACCTGTGTTCACTGAATCATTTTTCTAGTAACTTAATGAAATCAAACCTGTAGGAGAATTCTTCCAAATTTCTATTTAGATAGTCAGTTAGTGATCTATAGGAAAAAAAAGAAAAAAAAAAAAAAGAAAAAAAAAAGGCCATTTCCTGAGTGCATGGACTCTGCAAATACATGGCTAACTTAGGCCACACTCTCACTCATAACGCCAGGACCAAACTGTCCCAAAGCAAAAAGGTTGTGAACTAGTTTTGATACTGATATTTGAAATTCTCAACAAGCTGAAGACATACTGATTTGATCAGATCTTGCATCAGGAATTAATTTAGCGCTCAGGAACAATAAAACCTGGAATGAGACCCTCCATGGGTAACGAGTCGAACGTAAACGTTTTACCTCTTAGCCATCAAGGGAAATTTTATTAGCACATTTTTTTTTTCCAAGGGAGAAGCAGAGAGAGAAAGAGAAACTTATTCATTAACACCTTACTTTTGTTTTAAGAAATATTATATCCATTACCAACTAAAAATAAATGGATTTGAGTAATTCTGAGGCATAAAGTGCCCATTTTCTTTCTTCTTTGATTTATGTGATTGTTCTGTTTTTACAGCTTACTGTTGACAGAGTGAGGTAATTCAACTACAATTTTTCCTGTGTTTTTCCCCATGTACATGTAATCGACTGCACGGAATACAGACTCCAGGCCAGTGAACCTGCCCTCTGAAGACAGGTCTCCAAGATTCACCCCACAAATCAGGTCTCCGCTGTCATACATCTTGAGCAGGTGGTCCACGGCTGCTCGATACTCAGACAGGTAATGGTTCAGGAAGAACCCCTGGACACTGGCAGATTTCTTCAGCAGTTTGGCTGGCAATGTTCCTGCCTTCACAGGTGAAAGGCCGCTGGGAGTTTGGTAGCCAGAGATAAACCCAATTACTATCAAGCGCCCTTTGGTAGCCATGGCGTCTACAGCCAAGTCAAACATGGCGCCCCCGACAGACTCGTAGACCACATCGACACCCTGCGGGTACTCCCGCTTCAGGACAGCTTTGATGGGCTCCGCTTTGTAGTTGATGGGACGGTCACAGCCCAGAGATTTCAGAAAAGCTGATTTTTCATCAGAAGAGCAGGTTCCAATGACATGGCACTTGGCCTTCTTCGAGAGCTGCACGGCAAACTGGCCCGTCCCTCCAGCTGCGGCTGTCACCAACACTGTTTTCCCTTCTGACAGTCCTCCCAGCTCTTTCAGGCTGATGTATGCGGTGGTGCCACTTACCAGCAGGGTGAGGTACTCGGGTTTCACTGTGGGCACCTGCACTGCCACATGAGCAGGCACCACTGTGTACTCAGCAAAGGAGCCAGGTGCCAGGTAAGCCACAGCTTGGCCCACTGTGAACCTGGCACTTGCTGAGAGGCCCAGGGCTACCACCTCGCCAATACCTTCGAAACCTGCATCAAAGGGGGTCTTAACCGAAGGGTCATAGCGGCCGGCTGAGTAGTTGATGTCAGATGCGTTGACACCAACAAATCTAGAAGAAGAAAGACAAACGGATCAAGATGCCTTCTTCGTGAAGGCCTTTATCCTGCACAGAAAAGTTCCTCTAGCCGTGGCGACTATGGAGGGGTTTCTGTGTGCTAGGATCTGATAGAATTCAGATAATTCGTCCTGCTGTCCAGGTGACAAAAAGAAACCAAATAAGTATTAGTTCAACAGGGATCTGCACCCAGTGTTTTGGCATACTTCATTCTTACATCAGCTTAGGAATGACTGCACGGCAATTTAAACAGAAAGCAAGTCTCTGTCTTTCAAAAGGAGAAATAATAATAATAATAATAATAAAAGTCTGGAAACCCTCATTATATACAAACTTCACTGGAGCTATGAGTTGGAAATTAATTGGCCTCTTAACAAAGATGTTAAAAACAACACTAGGCTAAAATATATTCAAAGTAGACTTGGATTGATTCTGGCCACAATGTAACACTTCAGATAATAATAGTAATGACAATGATATTATTAAAGATTGATGCAACTGCAAGGCCATCGCTTGGTATATGTTACTGCAGGGCCGTGTGAGGCAGTCAAGAGTGGGGCAGCACCTTTTCTTCTGACGTAACAGTGTCCGACGTGAAACTACGCATTTTGATTAACTGAACAAATATCGAGTGAAGCAATTTTTATGGAACATTCAACATCCTACAGTCCTTTCAGATGAAATGGAAAGCAAATCGTCACTGTATTTTTCCTCAACAAGAATCAGAGACTGGACTTGATTAATACCAGATTTTTATTTTCACTTTGGTATCCAGAGTCAACTTAATTGCGAGGCCAGTGTTTTTTATCAGTTGTTTTTAATTTTTTATTTCTTTCTATTTCTGTATACCTCATAAGAAAAATATCCTGATACAAAGAAGGGGGAAGCCCATCTGCTATGGATGTCAGGGGGTGGCTGAGACACATAATGGAGGACCCTAAAAATGTCATCTCCACCTGTAATGAAATGAAAAGATGGTAGTTATCTGGTGGCAGGAGGAAGGCTGTTAAGTAGGTCTTTTAAAATAATTCACTTAATTTAACTGTCCCGGGTGAGGATCAGGCTCTCTGTGAAGTGGGGACTGCTCTCATGTGGCCTCCTGGGTTCTGAAACACAGAAGGGCTCTCTGTGCTCAGACACGTGCTGTGGAAGGCAGGCAGTGGCCACCGCTCCTCTGCCTTCTGCTGGTCGTTCAGAACGCCCACAACAGCTGCAAAATGCCATACCTAGAAACGTGCACAGTAACCGGGGGGTGGGGGGACCACTATTCCTGGTTTCCTGTTTGGCCTTTAATACCAAGAGGCCTACATGCTCTTTTTGCAGAAGGAGGGGTATTTGCCTTCTTTCCTTTCAATCTACTTAATGCCCAGGCCTAGTCTTTTTAAAGGGGCCAGTGTCCCAGAGCTGCCTCTGGACTCACAGGAGCAGGCCTGCAGCCCCACGGGAGCCCTGGGTGCCCCCCGCCCTTGACGCTGAGCCACAAGCTCCAGGAAAACGTCCTTGGGGATGGAAGCAAAGGCAGGGCTTGCTCCTGGGGTGCCAGACAGAGGCTTCATCACTAGTCCTGTTTTCCCAGCTCCTTCGCTCAAGATCAGTCCTTCCTCCCCAACTGCAGTGGCCACTCTTCTGTGTGGAGGCCCGGCCTGGACGCCACGGGGCGCACAGAGGGCAGTAGGGTCCTCGGCCTCTGAGCCAGCATGCCCTGCGGCAGGGATACTGGGCAGGGAGGGGGCTCTGCCAGAGGAACAGGGGCTCCCCCACTCTGCGACCCGTGGTGGTTTGCCACTTCCCAGGAAGAGGTGGAGAGACCCAGAGGCAGAGGGCAGAGTGTGCTGGCTGAACTGGGGGGCTGAGGCCAAGGTCAGGGGCAAGGGTGGGAGGACGTGCTGAGAGCAGCAGCTACAATTAGCCACGTGCCGGCTTTCCTGAAAACCAAACCAAATATGCCCTGGTTATCAGCCTGGCAAGCCAGGACTGGGGGCAGCCAATCCGCAGGGGGTGCGCCTGGGTGGCGAAGCTTAGTCCCAGCCAGGGGCAGCCCGAGATGCTGGAGCAGGCGCGTCAGGGACTGTCTCCCCTAGGAATTGCCCGGTCACTGCAGCCGCCCATCCCTGTGGTCCTGGCCTATTCAGGGCCACAAAGAGAGACGCGATCAGTGACTGCAGCCCTCCGACCCTGCACCAGGCAGGCCTGCGGACCATGACCTCCCCCTGGACGCTGGCCCTGAGCCCCGGCAGCTGCGCAGCTGCGGCCCGGGTGGGCAAGTCCTCCCGGCAGAGCCGACCAGGCTCTGACACCCCCTTTCTTCACCGCCCCAGCCCTTCTGCCTTCTAGATCTGCGCGGGAGGCCAGGGCTGCTGACAGCCTGCGCTGCTCCAGGCTCCGCGCCCTCGCCCAGTCTCCCTGTCCCGGAACCACTTGCTCTCACACAGCATGGCCAGCAGCCGCTGGCCAGGACGCCCACTGCCCATGGCGATGCCTCAGTCCTTACCCCTTACCTGCGTGGGAAGAAGTTGCAAGAGGGTCAGGGCTGCGCTTCCCTGCTCCGGAGGGAGACAAGTTAGGGCGCAGCCAGAGACTCGGGCCAGGGGGGCACGGGGCAGGGGACAGAGACCGCTACACGGGAATGCTCTGGGGGCCGCGTCCTGAGGCCCGTCTTATTCCCCCTTTTCCTGAAAATGCGTGCCTGTAATGAGTGCAGGATTCCAGGAATCTGCGGGGAACTCCTGAAAACACTAAAACGCGGCACCCTACGAAAAAGAACAGGACCCGGTGCAGGCGATTCGCAAACACAGGGCTTCCTAGAGTCTCCCGGTTTATTTATACGGAGTTTACTGTGGAACAGGGCAATCCCGCACAGGGGAGGGAAACGCATTCCTCTGACCAAAAAGCAAACGCCAAGACTTAAGTCCACAGTGCAAAACGCCTTCGGTCTTAGGATGCCTAACTAAAGTACCCGAACCAGACCTTTAGACACAGAGAGAGAAAAGAAAGAAAAAGAAAGGACGGAAGAAAGAAAAAACTCGGCCTGGAGAGTCGGGAAAACAGTTACCCTCCCAGAGCAACAGACCGTTTATCAAAAACGCCGCCCCCTCCCCCACCTTCTTTGGCCATCCCTACAAACTCCTGGCTCCATTATCTTCTACTTGAGCAGAAAATCGTTCGAAATATTTGGAAACGAAATCATCTGCCAGCCTCTTACGAAATAAGGGCAAAATAGTACACACACTGACTTAGCCGGGGTCGTTCACCCGTTGTTTTTCTTTTCTAGGCTCGGTCCTGGGGGGGATGTGCAAACGGGAAGGTGAGACCTGCAGAAAGGACCATGCATTATACATTCTACAATGCTCTGAGACTTTGAGACCCTCTCTCACACCTTGCCTAGCCCATACACTTCATTATCCTACACTGAGATCTAGCTCACAAGCACTTCACTTCCTGTGAAAGGAGTGTTTGTGTTTTCCGCTCAGCAGGAGTGAGAGGGGTCCTGGTTCACTGGAAAGACAGTCGGGTGGAGCACAGCTAAAACCACCAAACACCTTCTCAAACGCGTGAATTTGAGTTTAATCCATTCAAGGGCAGATTTTATTATGATAAAAAGGAGAAGGGTTGCATAAAATTTTAATGCAATTAACACTGCTTAGGGGAGATTTGGTCTAGGATTAAAATGAACTAACCCGCAGTGAGTTATTAAACCTCCATTCTTACAAAATCGGTGAAATGCCGTCTCCACTGAAACTGCTTGCAAGAATAAAAGGTCTTCTTACTAGTTGGTGGTGGGGCAAATTTTCCAACACCATAGGGAAAAGGGGAGACAAGGATTCCCCCACCTCCCAACTGTCAAAAACCGGCCCCATTCTTTCTGTTTCGGATTCAGGGTAGAAGTTAGGGACAAGTTCTTCAGATGAATATTTTGTTCATACGAAAGGAATTCTCAGCATGTGTGGGGGAGGCACTGACTTTGAAGTAACCTAATCTGATGTGCTCCGAAGTGGGAGCCAGCACTCTGACCACTGAATTTAGGGATCAACATTGGTCCCGCTTCTAGACAACCCTGGAGACCAGCACAGCCAGCGCCTGGGCACTATCGCCTCCTTGGGGTATCAGACTTTTCCTCGGAGGAAGGAAAAAGGGAGGGCACCACCAAGAGAGCTACAGCAAGCAAGAAGAGGAGTCTGAGGAGGGGAAAGTGCCAGAGGAGCTGATTAACACCAGATAGTGAGGCCCTGGAGACAGCCAGCAAAGCAAGCTGGTGAAGCCTCCAGGGAGGCGGGTGGTCCTAGTTCCCTAACTTCACGCTGTCCCCCCTGCAGGTTCCCTCTCTGTTGCCCCTTCTCCATTTCACACCCTGCTCCTAAAACGGCTTTTATTCCCGAGGTTGTGTGTGTGTGTGTGTGTGTGTGTGTGTGTGTGGCATTGACAGTCAATAGTGCTGAACTTTTTGTCCGATAGATAGTTTGTTTGCAAAGCTTTGCATTCTGATTTCATTTGGACTTCTAGCAAGTACTCCCAGTGCCCTGTTCTCCTGAACAGGCACTCAGGGGTTCCTGGCAGGGAAGGTGGTGCTCTTACTCTCTAAAGCCTAGGCATTTCATCGCCTCTTGAAGCAATCCTCACCGCGGTTTCCAGGGCAGTGCAAAGATGCGACCTCCCCCCTTTAAGGCACTCCCTACCTGGCCACCCCTGGGCCCTGCAGTCCCCATTCAATCCCACCCCTGGCTCACTCCATCACAACATCTGCAACAGGTTTCCCAAAGTTTTATTACATGATCTGCACTCTTCATTCCTCTGGTCTTGTTTGGAAGGCTGATAGGAATCTCTAAAATGGACTGATTTAACTTTGCATCAATCTGCTTAGGCAGGGCGCATTTTGTCCTTCAGTCCTTGTAGGAGACGGGTAGTACTTTCTAGCATAGGATTAACAAAGTAGTTACAGTCAGAACTCAGTCCTCCCTATAACATTACTCAACCTGAAACATGCAACGCTATAACCATTCTGATGGGACTTAGCAGGCCAAAGGGCACAGAGGAGGGACCAGCCTGCATAGGCGGGCTGCTGGCGGTGCGCGAGCAGAGACCAAGCAGCCAGGATCCCACAGGCAGAGCAAGGTCTTCCTTCCCGTGGCTTCACTAGTTACTAAAGATTAGTGAAGTGGGAACACGTTACAGCGAGAGCAGAGGAGGAAAAGATGGCCAGGTCAGGCTTTGACCTAAGTGTCACCAAAAGTCTGCAAAACAGTGCAGGCAAGTGCGGCTATGCCCCCACCCCGGCCACGCGCCTGTCCTTACACTCAAGGGAAGCGACACTCACACAGCACTGACAACAGGCGGACGACCCCGGTGAGGTGCACACCAACACACCCAACCACAGCCTCCGCCATTGCGAGGCGATTGCCAACCGGGAGGAGCCAGGAAAAGCCAGCCGGGTCCCCGGCCTCCTTCCTCCAAAGCGCGTTTACCTAAACGTCGCAGTGCGTGTCCAGGCTGTTCCTGCTCCACCCTAAAGACTGTGTCAACGCAGGAACCGTGGGCGCACGCGGGTGGGCCAGGAGGGGAGCCTCCCCTTCTGGGTCCCGTCGGTTTTATTTCGGGAGCGGGAGGGGGAGGAGGGGGGGCTGGAGGAGGGGAGGGGGATCCCAAATTAAAATAACCCTCTGTTCGGCGCTGCGCGGGCGGGGCGGGGGGCGCGCGCCGGGCTCACCGGTTCCGGACGAGGAGGTCTCCGTCCCCGGGAAGCGGCACCGGGCAGTCCCGCTGCAGGGAGACGGCCTCGCGGAAGTTGGGACTCAGCCGGGTCACCACCAGCTTCTGCATGGCACGGGGGATAGCGGAGCCCTGGAAGTCCAGGAAGTGGCGAGCGTACGACATGTCCACGATGGTTCGGGCCCCGGCGGACGCCAGCCGAAGCATGGCCCGCGTCTCCGCCCGCACCCCCCAGCCCCGCGGCGCGCAGCGCGGGCCGTCAGCTCAGCCCCCGCGGAAGACCGATGCGCCACCCCTGGGTCCTGGCCGGGAGCCCCCGGCCGCCGGCCGCTGTTCCTTTAATCTTTTTGTTTTGGTTTGAATCTGCTGGGCGCAGACTGGCCAAGGATCCTCCGCCCTCCCCCTTCCTCCCGGCGCGGGAGAGGCACCGGATATCCCCACCTCCCCAAGCTCGGAAAGCCGGATTTGACTCCTCTAAAAGGGGGGGGGGGGGGGCAAGCCGCCCGGCACCCCC